CTTTGAAGGCGTTTTGGTCTGGTACTCTGGGAGAGGACTAAAATCCTTATCAAAGCCTCAATTAACAAGCTTTTTTCAAGGAACGTTCTCTCTTTTCAACTCAAATATATGGTATTGACACGGATGCATATCTGGGCGAGTTTATTTTAGTTCATCTCGATCACTGATACGCAAGCGAATTGTTGCGAAGTAAACAAGCTACAATTTTCGTTAATAAAAAGGTCCTTGAAACCTTTTCTGGGGTTTAACTAAAACCAGCGCAATAGTTATAGTTGTATCCCTCACACAGTTCGCTCGAGTATACTTATCTTTTGTGCGATAATCTCAGCAAGATTTCAGTACCACCTTTTCCCACGATAAAACTTTTGACACGAGGCACTCATAACTTTTGAGTTCCTAGAAATAATTTTTGGGTGAGATTATGCGTCGACTTGGTTTAAATAACTATTTCACAGCTGCTATCGTCCAGTATTGTTCCTATCAGTTAAATCTCATAAAAAACAGCGATACTGTAGCTTACATTTATATCAATGCGAAACTAATAGAAATGCCAATTCTTGAACATTGTGACGCCAATTCAAGTTTCGTCAGCTTTTTTTTTTTGAAGATCTTTAAGAAGATCGATATCACTGTGCAACCCCGTTAAATTTCATCCACTCTTTTCAATGTGACACCACCAACCAGCACATTCCTATTAGCCTATTTCTGGAAAGTATCCCTTCTACCCCTTCGAGCTGATCTTAGGTAACGACAATGATTAGCTTTGTATGCATGACTACAAGATTTTGGTGTGAAACTGCGGCTCAGTATCACGTGTGGAAAGCAAAAGTGACATGTAGCTATTACGTCTGTTCGAAGGTGAATCTGGCTTTCCGACCCATGATATGCAGGTTTAGTGGTACAACAGATTTGTCATAGCCGAACCATACCAAGAAAAGAATGTTGACATGTAAAGCGAACTGTAGAGCGATAAGGTATAAAGCATGGGATAATAAAATGTTCAGCCTTGAGGACGTCGTAGTATTAAATTAACTATTTTGCCGCGCGGTCCCTCTGTTCTCTCTTGACATGGAAAATGGCAGATTTTCAAGGAAATTTAGTATACATAAATGGTTTATTTGATATTCTTGCATAGAACGTTAATATTTTATATTGTATCTGAAAGTTATCAATACAAAAAGGCCGTTTTACATGTACAACCATTTCGGTCCATCAATGTTAACCTCGCGGTGGCTTGTTATAGTCTCCTTATTTTCGAACGCTAATTATATAATAGATCTAACATACATTGTAATATATTAAATTAACAAATAAATTCCATGTTGCAATGCTACTGTTCAGCGATACATCACAAATGACATCAAAATGTGGTAAGAACAAGAAACAGATGATGGCATACGAGGCGCAGCCGAGTATGTCACTAATGTTCTTACCACATTTCTACGTCTTCTGCGATCTATCAAAGTACCTACTTTCC